GAGGTGGCCGACCTGAGCCTGGGGGTGGGAGGCTTCTTGCCGGAGGTTTTGGGGACTCCAGCAGCGCCCCCCTTTCCGGACCCAGCATTCCCTTTGGTGCCACCCCCGGGTTTTTTAATGGGGGCGGCTCCAGACTTCCCGCGGGCGGGCGGCTGGGGCGGAGCCGCCGCGGCCTTTTTGGCTTTGGCGGCCGCCCTTTTGGCGCCCCTGGAGACGACCTGTGCCCAGGTCGCCTCCTTGTCGCCACTGCCCGCACCCCTATTCACGTCCTCGGTGACGGGAGGAGACGCGGTCGCGGAAGGCAGTCGAGCCTTCCTCGCCTTTGAGGGGGGTCGGCTTGGAGGACCCCGGGCCACCTCAGTGCCAGTTTGAGCGGCGGTTCCCTTCTTTAAATTGGCAGGGGGCCGCTCGCTGGCTCTGGCTGGTCCCTTTTTCGGCCCTTGCGACGCTTTAGGGGCCACCCCCATCTCTATCAGGAGGCGGGGGAGGAGCCTTGTGAGGATCTTTTCGTCGCCGCCTTCCCTTTCCTCTTTATTCCGGCGACGGACGGGCCCCGGTCTTCTCCCCTCGCCAGGGGGTTGAGTTGTTTGGCAACCCCCTGCAGAGGGGGCCTGAAGAACGGCGCCCTCAAGTCCTCCTCCATTAGGATCATCGGAGGAGGACCCATCTCACCGTCGGCAGCCCCCTTAGCAGCCGACATCGTCTTCGGTGCCGCCTCGCTGGGGGGATTCCTCCCCTCGCGGACTTCGCCTTCGAGGCGCTCCTTCTCTGCGCGGAGGAGGGTGACCTCATGTCGAAGCCTCCGCCTCTCCTCCTCCCAGACTCTTACGCTAAAGCGCCTCTCTTCTACAGCGCTGTCCGCGCTGTTAGGGCCGTCGTCTCCTACCTGCTCGCTCGCCCTCGAGACGGTCGTGCTTAGGGCTGCGGATAATTTAGCATAAGCCGTCCACAGGTCCCTAACGATGTCCCCTTTTATGTTACGGGACTTTTCGACCGCCTTGGCGATGGTGCCGAGCTCCCTAGTTGCCACGGCAGCTACGGCACCAAGCGGCTGCTCCTCGTATTCGAGGGCGAGCTCGACGGCCCTCTCAACGGCCTTCCTCGCGGACGCGGAGGAGGGTGCCACCTCGGGATCAATAATTAGGAGGTGATCCCTCTTCAGCTGACGGGCTTTGGCTCTGTCAGCCCTTCTAGCCCGGGCCTTCGCTGTAAATTTCCCGACGTTGTCGGGGTTCAGCGCTGGCCGGCCCCTTCTCCTCTCGTTTGACTCCTCCTCGCTACCCGAGGAGGAGACCAACACAGCCGGTTTTCGTTTCCGGCTTTCCTCCTCAAGGGAGGCCATCGAGACCGTAGAAGCGG